GTCTTTATAAAACCAACTAACTATATATTAGTTTAGTGGAAGGAACATGAGTTGGCATCCTGCTCGCAATAGTTTGAATTACAGGTGTAGAGAAAGAAAGGACATCTCCATGCTTCATAGCTGCACAAAAAAGGGGATGTGGAATCTTCGATTTAGTATCCTGCTTTATTTATTAAGCGAGTGTGAAGTGAAGGTTGTAAGGCATAATCCCGTCTCTTTTGGGGGTAAGGTAGGATATATTAAGTTCTTGCAATCCAGTTCAATAAAATGCTTTTGATCAAACCGGTTATAGTTATATCTTTCTAGTCTCTTTTCTCTTAGTGCTGTGTATAAAGAGAAGGCCCCTAGCCTAGTCTGAATGAATGTACCAGTGGATAATATTTCATTGAAGGCGCGTAGCACCTCCCCTTCCCAGAACTGATACTCATCATACGAAAACAGGTCCTATAGATGCCTTATGTTAACAAAGTGAGAGCCGAGTCTTTCCTTTGATGGAAGCACTAGACTCACTATACAGGAGAAGACCTAAAGGTTGTAAATCCTTATTCAGCCAAATTCAATTTCCAAGGTCGAGCAAGTAGAATAAAGTAGGAGTTTCTCACGAGACAACCTCAATCTTGAGTAAATTGGTTAGTGAATTTATACTTTGCGGGTGATTCCACAAATTTTAGGAAGGCAGTTTAATTGCTTCAATGGATGGAATTGCTATAAGACATATACCAGTGATGATAAGTGAGGCTTTAGAGCACCTCAATGTAAAAAGTTACGGTATTTACGTAGACTGCACTCTTGGAACTGGCGGACATTCAAGTTCTATATTATAAATCGCTGACGGTCTAACGAAACATGTGTTGGAGCTTACCTTACCTTGTGGCTAAGCGGGTGTCGAACTCATCCCTTCCACTCTAGGAAGTACGAGAATAAGGACGAAAATGTAAATAGGTAACAAACAGTCTTTTTGATCAGAGATATCAGCAGTTCCGCTGGACCCTCATTGCCCCCAAGACCTTATAAAAGCGTAGGAGAGCTTAAAAGAAGTGCCTTACCTTAGGCTGGGTCGAGAAAGGATAATGGCATTGGGATCGTGTTTTTGTCACCAGAAGGATCCCGAAGGCATCTAAGCTGGGGTTTCCTACGACCAATAACATAACTGAGGCTGCACTCTGCCTCGATGTCCGTGAAGGTCCGGGAATCTTTTTTGCTTGTCTTCGTCAAACTTGCCAGAACCCCTAAGACAGAATCTAAATTTGACGACTGGTGCGAAATTCCAGTTAGAATGCTGACGCTAGATATACAGCTAAGAAAAGAAAGAGCTTTGTCCGTTTCCATAAATAAATGAAGAGTCTTTTTCTTTAATTCGATTCATAAGGAAGGCTGAAAAGCCGCAAAAGTAGTTTCAGGGCTTATTCCCATTGATTTCCATCTCACGTTTTGAACCTTCCTCTCGATATTGAAAGCTTAATTGCTGCTCCTTACTGCGAGATAAAGCCCTCGTTCATTCCCAATCCTTAGATTTACCACAGCCTAATGCCTTACCGCCCTTAACGGCCTTGCTTGGAGAGCGCAAATCCTTACGCGGTAAACCAATAGCAGCGGATTCAGTCCTTTCCTTCTTTCTTACTTTCATGGGTAGGTTGGTTTGGCCTCTTTCCTTCCTTTGAAAGAGATCCCAGGTGCAGTGCCTATTCACTCTGAATCGGATCTTGATGAAAGCAAGCGCCACGCCCCTTGATATCGATTAGTACTGGGAAGAGAGTCTTACTAGTCCGTATAGTCCCGCGCAGTGACTCTCGCACAAGCTAAGAAAGGAAATAAGTTCTTCCGGGCGCCGTGTATTTTATTTTCTCTCCCAAGAGACTAGATCTTAACTTAACAATCTCTCTTTCAGCCTCATAAGTAAGAGCTTACTGTGAATCTGTCTTATAGCTTTCAAAGCGTGGACAAGAAGGAAAGCAAAGCTAACCTATTGATAGTGGCACTCCCACAGGCTGGCGGGGAACTCCCATATGGATGGCTGAGAAGAATTCATATATAGGCTATAGGCTTGAAAAGAGTGCTAGCTTTCGAATCTTGTCTTGCTTGAGTGCTAATCCTAGAACCCGCTTGAAAACGGGCTTTTCCCTAAGGTACTGCTAAAGGCTTTCCTTGAAAGGAACGGAGTTACTCGAACAATAGATAGAGGGACTTAGGCCTTCCAGCCACTCTTAAGCCAGCAGGTTATAGGTCAAAAGACTGACGGGCAAGCTAGCAAGGAAAGTCTCTTTACCTCTTAGGCAATCCAGCCCATCCACTAGCAGAAAAAAGGCAAGCAAGTTATCAAATGAAATGGATTTTCAGTTCTTTGCCTCGGGTCAGCGGATGGTCAGTGGACAGGTAATTACATTAACTAACAAAGCGGAATGGATAGGGATAGCTCGCTTACTACCTTCTGGTCTCATCCAGCGTCTACAAGCGGAGAATTAGTTATAGCGTAGGGGTGGAAAAGAGGAAGAGTGCCCGCTAGAATCTTCTTTCACATCTATCTTTCTGCGTCAAAGCTTTATGTTTGAGTACTTGCCTTCCTCTTAACTTCTTAAACTACCCGTCCGATCGCTTTCAGGAAAGGAGCATTGCCAAATATGTGGATTTGCCGAGGTGCCCAACATTCCTGACTGATGGATGTCTAGGCGTTCCCAAAGATGTACTTTCGGTGTCAAGAAAAGATCCTGCTAAACCAGAATCAGGGGATCCGCTCAATGGAAATTTCTATTTGAGGTACCGTGCCCGATTCTAATAAATAGAAGACCCGAAGGCTCTTGCCTTGTGACCTACGAGCCAAGAATGAAGAAAGAGGGTCTATGTTAATAGAGCTAGAGGAGGTATCTAGGAGAAGCGCCATTCCCATACCATTAACAAAGAGTTGATTCGAAGCTAGGCTCAGGAAAAGGTTTTTATTTTGATTACGGTCCATAAAATGATTATCAGTCACTTTCTTTTTTAGTGTAGAAAGATTCCCTTCTCCCATTTGGGTAACCTTAATGAATTACGTGAGTTTGCCTATAACTATAAAAAGTATCCGCTTCCTCGACAAGACTTCAAATGTGCGGATTTGCTGATCTATGAGTGACTAAGGTGGTCACCTGGGGAGTTGAGATGAAAAAAATTCATTCCTTTTGTTTCGGTCCCTATAATGGTAATGGTCGGCTTGTGGTCGACTGCCTTCTTCTTCTCATTCTGACTTGACTCGGCCTCAGTCTGTTATGAAAAGAGATTCCTGGAAAGTCGTTTAGGCCCTTACCAGGCCAAGAGCCATAGTAGACGTGAGCACCTGCCAATGGCTGAAGCCCTTCCAACGGTCTATCTGACTTCTGAAAATCTTCCATTTCACACCGATTATGAAATCATCATTCGGATTTAGTAATGTGATCTTCAACCGGGTCAATCAATTAGGGCGGCTAGATCGACCCACTCTAACTCCAGCTAAACTTAATTAAATAAAGTAAAATATAGTCAAGCCCCCTGTACCCATATAAGTGAGTGGGCAAAAACCATTGGAAAATGCCAGCTTCGGGAGGATAGCGAAGCCTGCCTTAGGCTAGCGACGTCTTTCCCAGTAAGAAAAAGCACGGGCTCCCTGACCCACTGAATACAACAAAAGAAAGGGGAAGGACGTAACATAGAAGAAGTAGGCTAATCCAGATAAGCATCCTTTTGCCTTTAGTGCTTGGTCCCTCAGTAGGTCCTTCTTTGGCATGAGCTGTAGCGTAGGCACAAGAAGTAGGAGGATCCGGAAGCGTAGGAGCGGAAAGCCAGGATGCAGAGAATCTAGCTAGGAGGAAGAGGAGGCATGCCATAGTTTAAGAAGGGGACAGAGATCCTAACTAGGGCTATTCTTCGTGGACTAGTCTTTTGCTTTTCTCCTTCCATTCCAGGTCAAAACCTTCGGTAGGTTGGGTTTCGATGAGCAGATCTATCTTTCGAACTTCATTTTCTTTCCGTCTGCCGGTGTCGTGGAGCCAGTCTATGATGTTCCAAGTGGATAAATCCAGTGTCTTTGATTCGGCTAAGGGGCCAGTGCCTTGAGTGATTTCAGCCCGTTGAAGGAGATCGAGGAGTGTTCGGGTGTCGAACCATGGGTCATTGGTCGAAGTCAGGGGAAATGATTTTCAGGTCGGGGCATTGCTTTCTCATTTTCTCTTGCATCGTGTAATGGCCCCTTGAAGGCGGAATTGCTTCTTTATCTTTCTTCGTTGAGGGTCGTCCTGACCTTGTTCAATCACTTGAGGTCATGCTGGTCTAACTGGCCCCTAACCTAAAGGCACCCCCTTTTTTCTTTATGTGAATGCTCTCCGTCCGTTTTCGAAGTGGTCGAAGGTTTCATTTTTCCGCAGCAAGCCTTTCTTTTTCTGTCTTTGTGTTTGAGGGAGGGAATGTGTCTCGAGGTCTATCGCCACCCCCCGTACCTTTAGTGGGACATTGCCTTTTTTTAGAATGAGAGTAAGGGCATCCATCAGATGGAGTGCCTGCGAATTCAGTGACTGAACTTCTAACCAGAAATATCATAATAAAAGAAAGGTCCACAGAAGGCTACGAGGTAGTAGGAATGGGTTGACCAGGTTCTACCACTGCAAAGGACGGAGCTGGAGCACGATGGACAGATGCAGAGCTATTTTTAACTTTGGCATCAATAGCACCTCAAAAAGTCTCAGACTAAGGCATAGGTATCATATCCTAGCTACATCTCACTCGAAGGCAGGAAGCAATTGACACCTGACTTTCAATCAAACTCTTCCGTTGGTACGCATGAACCGGCTTTTTTGCTTCCTCTATTTCTCCGTTCTCGGCCGTGACCTATAAAGCAAGAGAGAATCTTTCTGGATCTTTCTTCCCGACCGGCAAAATGGAAAGAACTATGAACGTGGAATCACTAGAAACGGATTAGTGACGAGCAATTAAAGGATAATGCGTTCATTTCCTTTTGCACCTTCGCTTCGGGTTCGGGCGTCCCCAAAGCAAAATCCGCTATAGAAAAAAATGGGTTGAGTGCTAGACCGGTCCGAGAACTGATGCGAACTACCTAATGGATCGAACGTCGAACTCCGGGTGACTGGATCGCCCCGGCGGGGCCGAGGACAGAGGGCCCTGAGAAGCGCAGCACTCCAATAATGGATCCTTTTGTAGGCTCTGGCTTCAGCCAGCTCACTTTCTCCCTCACTTACCTCCAGAGGCTCAGACGCTTCGTCAGTGGGTTTGCCTTCGTCTTTCCTTTTTTTTATTCTTAATCAAAGCAGAGGCAGTTTCTGCAGCTGTGCGCTTCGAGGTAGCTCGGGTTCTCCTAACTGAAGACATTGCGGACTTAGGGGTAGGGGGTTTAGCACTTTTGTCTACAAAATAGAAAAACAACTCATTTTTTGACCGCGGGAGTTAAACAACGAAAGACCGAAAAGGAGATACCTTTCTTGGGTTTCTTTTCTTGGGAGGATAAAGTTGACTCGACGAGGGCTCTGGGACGGATTCCTTGGTCTTGCTCTTTCCTTTCTGGGATTTTTCGGTCGGGATTCTCCTTTTTACATCTCCAGGTGAGATGGCTTCGATTGGCTTGAAAGCAAGGTTTTTATTCCTCCGACCACCATGTTCTAAATTCCGTGGTCATTCCTGGCGTATTGGACAGGTTGTTTAAGTCGAAGCCGCTTTTTAGAAGTAAGAGTTTCCGTTGAAGAAAGAAGGGGGAAGGATGAAAATCCAACGCTTAGCCAACCATCTATCTTAAATAGTCTAGAATCAATCTATTTATGTCTAATCTTGCTTTCTATCTAACTGGATAGATCTTCTTCCTATTTCTAGGAGCTTCTAGGTCAGGGAAAAATGACAAGTTTCGTATGAAAGGGAGAGGTGCTGCTGCTTACGTCCTTTCCCCGGAGCAGCAACTGAAAGAGAAAAGACCGGGTATGCCTGAAAACCTGAAACGGATTCGTGAACAACAGATAACAGATATACCCCGGATACCATTTGAACCAGAGCTGAACCATTGAAATTACCCGAGAGTCACTCCAGAAGACCTCGAGTCACTGGCTGCCTTTAGAGCAGACTAAGAATCAGGTACGGAAGGAAGTGAAGGTGAAGCAGGCTTGCGGGCTAGGCTTTCTCAGGCTTGACAATATGACAGGGCCTTTGAGCCTGGGCTTTCTTCTTTAAAGCCTCACGCCGGGTATGAACTCGATTGTTGGTCGGATCTTGCTGGGTATTCCCACTTTGCTTGGATGGCGCCTTTCGCCTTTGATTAGGACTTTTCCGCATTTCATCTCAAAGAGGATCTAAGCTAACTAAGCTAAACAGTGCTTTTCTCTTTAAGAGCTGGTGCAAGAAGGCCTCCGGACAAAGGCATGAATACTAAGAGAGGAAGAAAAGAAACCTCCCAAAATTCGTGTTGTACTGTATTAGTGGAGGCGGTAGAAGCCTTAATATAACGCGATATAAAGAGAAAAAGATGGTTTAAACTATATTGTCCCAGTTGGAGTTCTGACTATAGCTGCAACCTATCTCATATTGGGGAGAAGTGTACCCTACTGTATCGAAAAGAATGCATTGGATTCATTCTATTCTCCCATGTCTTTCTTGGTTGGAAAAAACCAACCGGCGATTTCCGACAAGTCTCTCTTCAGTTTGAGAGGGGAGCAGTCAAAAATGAACTATATGGACAGACGTGAGAATCAAATTGCACTCTTCAATTCTCTATCGGCATTAGCCAATTCCGTATGGAGGGGCAAAACCCCGAAGATCCTATGTCAGAATGCTTTGAGTTCCGCTCAAAGCTGCCTCTATGCGCGTATGTCGGAACTTCTTCCATTTAGACAAAATCCACTTCCAAATGATTGGACGCTACCGGCCTTTTGCCGGGAAGTGATTGGAGATACCGACAACTTACCTATTGTTTTAGATGCCCTAAGGTAAGGGATCTTTATTTCCATGGGCCAACGGGTGAATGCTACATACAGGCCATGGCTGTCTACGTCAATCTTTTGGGAGGGATGTAGTAAGTTGTAGGACTTTCATTTCTTCTTTTGTTTGTGCATCTTTCCCATGCTTTGGTAATAGTTCTCTATAGAGAACTATAGTTGTTCACTCCTCGTACAGGAAGGAGTCTCTTTCTGGAATAATTTCTTTTTTCTCAAATGCCTCAACTGGAGAAGAAGTCGTTTATGATTGAATCTCAGAGGCATTCTTATCATTTGGTAGATCCAAGTCCACAGACTCTCCTTTTCTTTAAGCAATGTGGCGACTCTGGTGATTTGTAGAGAATCACCAGAAGCAGTCATGTTGTCTTTATTAATCCTAGGTCTTGCATTTCTCCCTTTTCTTCCTTATGATATCGCTTTTCTAGCCCTGCTAGTCGGGCGATACTTTTTTCATCCAAAAATGCAAGACTTGGCACTTTCCCTTCTAATTCAGATAATCTTACTCGATATCTTCTTCTTTTTATCAAAAAAGAAAAGCATCTTCTTTTTATTGCTTTTCAGTCTCCTTCTTTTATTACTCCATGGGTCTTATGATCCGATGGATACTGGTGTTACATTAAAACGACTACTGCCCATGGCAGGGGGATGCGCCGCGCCTTCTATTTTTGGTTTTGCGCCACCACGCCGAAGGCGCAAATCCTCTCCTATTTCAGATTTTTATGAACGTTCTTCTTATCCTTTGTATTCTGAAGGACGTTCAGAACACTTTCTGTTTCTGTGTGTTTCATTTTAGCACACTAGTCTTCTTATTATTACTCAGTAAAATCCGGGGGCAACCCCTATCGCAAGTCCTTAATGAAACAAAGGAACAAATGTTGGCGCTTTTCCTTTTATTCTTGAGCCTTTCCCCGGTTGGTTAACCCATTGGATTTCTGGTATGATATATCAATTCTCATGGACTCCGCATAATTTTTCAATTAAGAACCGAATCGGCCTCGGATTTCTTTAACTATAATCTAAAAAAGGAAAGGATTGTTCTTTCATTCCTTTTCCTCTCCCTTTTTCTTCTTTTTTCTATTCAAATAAAAAAGAAAAAAAGAATCTCCAGGTATCCCTATATCAAGTAGTACGAGATCTTTGATTTGCAACATCAGTCTCTCTCCGGAGAGCCCTCTGCTGACCGAACCTACTGTTATGAAGGCAAGCAACCACAATGGAGTAGGGCTTCTAAGTGCGTAGTCTGTTTCCAAGCTCTGATAAGCGAGTCAAGCTTTCTCATCTCAGGAACAAGTCGACTAAGGCGATGGGGCATATCCGATCTTCCAATCGTTGATCTAGTTGAAAATGAGCAAATGAAATTTCTCTATAAATAAGGAAAGAAAGGCTAGTCCTACTGACACTGAACCTGGCTGGCCCCCCCCTCCAATCCCTCGGCTGAACCTTCTGAGGCCGTGACGACTTTCCGCGGGTCTCTCGTCGAAATGAGAAGCTAGCGAAACAGCGGTTGGTGTGCAGTCAACTACGTCGAACCTCACTCTGTCCCCTTAATTAGGAATTATAAAGATTTCTCTTTGATTTTTATAGGTGAATCAGGTTTTCTGTGTAATCTGAGGAGATTCGTTTCCCCTTTCTTATAATTACGTATAATAATTATATAGGGAGGGATCGAACTCGCTTTGCGCCACCCTATCCCGGTGCCAAAAAGGAGTCCCTAGCAGTACCGACTGTTGTGTCTTCGGCATCGAAAGCAGCAGCAGTCACCTCAAATGGGTTGGGTTCGCTCGAAGTCGTCGCGAGCCCTACGTTTGAAGCTTCAACACAGTCACTCCTTAGTATTAGTAGCTCGTTGCTACAACTTCTCTTTGGCTCGCCCCTATCTCTTCTCTAAAGGGGCTTACTCACTTCACTCGCTCTTGTTCAGTAGCGGTTTATTCATTCTTTAGATAGCAGCGCGAGAGCTCTGAACTTTCATTCAGGTCTTTAGTTCCAGTCGAATCGCGAGCAAAGCTCGACACTGCTAGCGAAGCTCTACGACAGAGCATTTCCATTATTTCAATTATAGAACCAACTGCTCTCTCTTTCCGGCTTAGCCTACCTTATCTTCTATCCCCCTGGTGTACGAAAGCAGCGAAGGAAGAGGAGCACAACCGTCACTTGCGAAGCGAACAAAGAAAAAAAACGCTCAAACAAAGCAAAGGGGCGCTCGTACACTCTCCGTTCTGTGGTGCCCCTAGCGCAGCGCTCAAACAAGCCCTCTGATCCTGAGGTGAGGGTGCGATGCCTATCGAAATCACAAAAGGTGCAAAACCGGATCCGCGTCAAATGAAAAGTGTCTTGGCATTGGCCGATTCCGTTGCCGAAAACTGCTTGTTATGACCCGGGGTCGGACGTTGTTTTTTATGGGAAGACATCGCGTTACTAGTCGATTTAAGATAACGAAAGGCTTTTCTTTTCCAGCTGCCAATAGAAATAGAAATCGGAATCAGAATAGTAAAGCAAGCAATAGGAACTGGTACATAAGCACAAGCAATCGGATCTCCTCGGGTCAAGTCAGCACACCCGCTGTAAGTAAAGCCATCTGGAATAGGAAAGCAAGTAGGAAGAATATGAATAGGAGTCAGTCTTGACTAAGCTCATTCCGACTCTCACCCGTCTCCAAGAATGCTACGACGCTATGCATCCGCGCACTGGAGTTTTCTACGATGGATTGAATCCTTCCTTCCAATTCGAATTGTTTTTCTACTCGTTCCTTGTCCCTTTTTTACTTTTAGGCACCATTCAGTATTTCAGTGATACTGAGTGAGTGAGGGTGGGGAGATTGCTCTCCCGCACACGCTGAGCGCCTCCGAATGGAGTGTTGTTTAGCTGTGTCTAGACGCGACATAATCAGCAGTGATCTATGATTATGTTTACGTCGTCTTAGTTCCTTTTGGTTAGGTTAACCCTTAACCTCAGTGACTAAGATTCCAAAGTTAGCATCTTGGACGCCCCCCCCTGTGTAGTGTTATAGCTACGCAATAGGGCGAGTCAAATGTTACATGAGTATTCATAATGACTCCTTAAGTAGCCTGGTGCAAAAGCCCAACGACTAGTAAGTGTAGTTAATTATGTCTAAAACTTTCTTTAAATTAAATGGTTGGATATTATTGAAAGGCTAAGTGTGCTTATGAACATAGGATTTCACCGGTTCCAGAGAACCAGATAGGAAGAAAAGACCCAGAGGATTCTTTTGAAGCAGCATGACTAGACTCACGGATTTGTCTTGAAAACTTTTTATCATAGGTAGTTGGAGTACCAAACCGGTCTAATCTCTTTCTACGGCAAGCGCCATCGCCTTTTTCACTCTGGATTTGACCTCAGTAGCATTCCATTCCCAACTACATGCTTTGATTCTTCATTTTTGTGAACCTTTTTCCTATCTCTGAAGTGTATCCGCTGCTCCCCGCCGGTATAGGTCTAAGGGCGTTTTGTCCCCTATCTCTCAATAGCACGGAACAAGATATATATATGTTGTGGCGCTTTCGCCGCCTATTCTATGATAAATATATAGTATAGTAAGGCGGAGAACTGTTGTTCGTTGGAGCGCCGGAGTGCGGAGGTTGTTCCCATCATTGAAGTCAGAGTGTGGGACTGAGTCTTCTGAATGATAAAGACCAAAAAGTACTTAGTTTTGTTGGAAAAATCAACGCAAATCTGATCTTTCTTTTCTCTCGGGCTAGAACTTTCTTCAATTATCTCCTTTAGAAAGCTGCGAAAGGCCCGGCCCTGAACATCCCTTTTTCTCGAATGAAAGACCCTCGCCCCGCTTCCTATCGATATGGCGGATGCGAGGCGAAATCAAAGTCATCAAATACTCTTGACTAGCTAGCAGGTTGGCTAAAGCGAACTGACCACAGCTCAATGAGGTACCAAGACCACCCACAAACCATTGAATCAGCATCATAAAGAAAATCCTCCTTTTCAGAATAAAGGGGCTGGTAAAAGGACAGCATCAAGCTAGACAGTATGACCGATCTCCGAGAGAAAGGCTTCGAGGTTCTCTTTCCTTGGTTTGACTAAACCGGCACTCGAACACTGGGTAAGAAGAGAGGGGCTTTTTTCTCTGATAGGGCCAACATCTTCTCTGACATTCATTTTCCCTTTATGGGTGAACCGTTCCTACAGCCCTTATATGATTCCAGCTACTCACCCTTGGACCCGCGGACTTGGAACTATTTAAACATGACCTTTTCAAGGGCTCGAAAAAAAGGGCATCAAACTCGTTGACTTCCGTGGAGGGACCTTACTACATAAGGGCTAGAGACGCCTCAGACTCAGGAGATTCTATGAACTCCCTTCACTCTATTTTATCCTGGGTCGTCAACCGAAGCCGGAGGCTCCTTCCAGTCTCAAGCTGTGGTATAGTCTCCTTTCCTCCTTCGTGCCCGACCCGGTCAGTAGGCGTCAGTGTCTAATCCCTCCGTCTCGTTTCGTAGGAATATTGTAGTTAAAAAGTAATTGCTCCCTAGAGGAACTGGTCTCGGAGCTTCATGAGATAGATTCTAGGGCTCATTTTCCTTCTTCGCTATCGAGCCCCTGCAATTACAGGAAATACCTCATCGATACCTAAACCTAAAGTAAAGGAGCAATCCCTACTGGAATGAATCCGTATCGGCGCCTAATCAGAAGAAGGGTCCCTGCTGGTGAGGGAGGAGTAGTTAAATCCACGGTCTCTGGCAGCAACTAGTCTCGAACGGAAGGAGTTGTCTTGAAAGAGCCCAAACCAAAGGGCGATGGCCAACCAAAGCCCTTTCCCTTTTAGCCTAAGCCATCATGAAATCCAAGCCATCGTTCACTCTTCATTTCCCGTAGTTGATAGAGATTTCCCTTGTCATTCAGGAAAGCCCTCGTACAGCCCACAACCATTGTTCGGTAGTACCTTCGCCTCCTCTCCCTTCAGTCAAATCTGCTTCAAACAAAACCTTTCTCTTCTTCATTCGCTCGGTGGTCTTAGTAAAAGCCTTTCATTTCCTTCCAATACTCAATTTCCGGTAAGGCAGACCCTCCAACCTCCCCATTTCATTCTCCCGTTTACCTTTCAATCGTCAGTTATTCCGCCAGCCTTGACCAAAGGAGGGGGAAGCGCGGCGTAAGCAAAGACCTTCGAATAAGAACAGGGGCTCCTGACTCCGAATCAAGGGAGTGGAGGTAATCCGGGCGAAATCAGAAAGTCATTCAAAATCAACCCCTCAAAGAGGAATCAGTATAAAAGTTACTCATTTGGTCCCATTAACAGAACAGCCACCTTTTTCTTTCTAATATTACATAACATAAATAGATTCTATTTATGTACAACATAATAAAATAAGTTAAGGGTTCGACCCCTCTCCGATAGCACGAAAGAACCCTTTCCATTAAAAAAAGCTCCAATTCGAAGGTGAACCATATAGAGGAGAGCTACTGTACTGGCTTTTTTTTGGGGGAGGTTGGTATCCTATAGATTATAGATCCTGGTTACATACAACATTGTTCCTGGAAACTTTCTTCAAAGATGAGCCTCGAGGAATCTGCGAAGATGTTCATTTGACATTTCCATTAGGAGAAAAGCTGCATTGGGCATTTACACCATTAAGAGAGGGGCTCGCTAATGCGCAAAGGGTAACACCGGGGTCTGGTTGGGCTGATCAAAGTAGTTGATTCAGAATCATCCAGCAGGAAAACTAGCCCTGTAACTTTATTTCTAAGAACAAATAGGAAAGCGCGCTTAACCGAGGGCTGCATTCCTGTTACAAAGTCCTTGTTATGGCCTCGATTTCGAAACCAAGATCTAAGGAATTAGATTATTCGGGCCAAATCCCCCATCAACCCCGAGTCACTACCTTTACCATTGCATTGGATCTGGCGATCCCAATTAAGAAAGCGTTGGTCTTGGGTTTGGGTGCCCCAAGCAAAGCGGTCCAACCCCCTTCTTTGATAAGCGATACCTTTCTCTGTTCAAGTTATAAGGCTGACGGAACCAAATGCATACCTTTTTGCTTCGTCAGCAGTAGTCCTTACTAGCCGATGACCTAGCATGAGTACGAACAAAGAACTTCTTCGATCTGACCCTCAGTAATCGCGGTGGAGCATTCATTATTATAAATAGTCCTATCTATTCTTTTTGGAGAAAGACTTTTGCAAAGCCCTATCCGGGGTTTGTAAAGCTCCCTGCCTACACGTGGTAAAGCTAAGAGCGAAAGAGTCGGTCGCATAAGCGCATAGATCACTACAAGTTAATTTCATCCCATGCAGAGTCTTGTCCGGCAGTAGGAAGACGGGATCTCTCTGAAGAACAAAGTGGAGGTCCAGTCCCTAACAGAAAGAAAGCCCAACAAGGTGGAATCAGCTGAATTATTATTGTTTCATCTTTTATCGTACAGATGATAGGACGGGCCTCTTTCTATGATCAAATAACTCGGTGGTTTCGGGAACGAAGCGAATAGGGTAAGGAGCACATCATGCGAGCAGGGTTCTTGCCCGACCCAGGAGGTAAGAATCATCAAATCATCCAACACTCGTATACTATATATTATACTAAGTAAGACCCGTGGTATAGTAATCATAATGGAAGCCCGGGCTAGCAATAACTGGAGTGACTTCGACTGAGGGAGGTAGCTTGCTTCTTGACAAAGACCAATAAGTAATTAGAAGCTCAAGCTAAGCCCAAGTTAGTGATAATGAATAGGGGTCAGAAGCTCAAACTCCAAATAATAATATATTTATATTATTTGAACAGAAGAACTTGAGCTTGAACAAATAGACTCAAACTGCACGAGGGGGGAGGGGAGACGATAGTGTCCCCGACCGGTCCAATGGTGTCTATGAAGAGTACATAAGAATGAGCGAAATGCAAGAAAGTGAATCGGTTGCGTGCCGATCCTTACCTATTTTCAGGGTCGACTTAAGGATTATCAGCGGCGACCACGAACCGCCTTGCTCCCGCAGAAAGACCTTCACCCTATAGCTACCGAAGACCATCACCTTCCGACAGGGTCCATCTTTGATAGGAACCCCGTTTTCTATATTCTATGATATGATCTTTCCTTTTTCTGCGGGTGTGAAATAGGCTACGGCAACGATGCGAAAAGAGTCTTTACCGAGCTTTTGAAGGATAAGGGCTATGCCCCAGCTGAAATGAGACCTGTTTGTGCTAGGTATATTTGATTCGGTGAGGGGGGAGTTCAGTTCGGGGTAGAGCTAAGGTACTCATCCAAATCCAGTAGAAAGAGCGCATGAAGGCAGTTCCTTATGCTTCATAGCGGAGGAAGCCCCACGGATGGCCCAGAGAGAGTGCGCTTGTATGTCTTCGATGCGAAAAATGGCGTAGTAAAGTAGCCAGTCACTAAGAGTAGTGGGGCTATCGCTTCCTCTAGTACTAGCTCTGATCTCTCTTCAGCAGTTGCAGTACGATTCTTTAATTCAACTCCTGCCCTGCCGTATAAGTCTTCAGTGTCTGGGGTAGCTTTTCCTGCGGTCTATGGCCTATCCGCCTTCCCTCTAGCTGCTAGCTCTATAGGGGACTAGCATCTCTTAGTTAAAGTTAAGCTGCTCTTTATGGCTTCGGTGAATCTCTCGTCCTGCTGTATTGGTTTTATGGTAACGCGTTCATCTCTTGTTTGCTTTGTTTACCGCTTTCCGTAATTAAGTACTTTCCCCTGTCAACTCCTGCTAACGGTCATCGGGTAAGGCTAATCGGTGGAATCTCTCCCTTGTTGCTTCTTCGATCCTGGGCCATATGTCCTCTTCAAGCTCTCCTGGTTGGGAAAGGCCGGGCGGAGCTGTGGATGCTGAGTCCTTTCCTTTCCGAAGAAAAAGGATTCACTATCTCTGTCCCGAAGTCACTATTTGAACCTGTGAGTACTTAAACTCTTTTGTACTCCAAACTGCCTCCAACCGGCTTTTTCTATTAGGCTTCCAATTCAAGCTGAACTGGTCGGGGATCAGAGTGAGTGCTTTAGGACTAACCTATCTTGCCTATGTTGACCTATTATACCGAACCAGTTATGTTATTTCTTCGAATTAGACCAATCGACATTCGTTTATATGCCATGCCGCCTATAAAGAAAGATAAGAGCCTCTACTCTTTCAACAGCCAGAGAGCCCACTCAATGAACAAAGTCTTTCTCTTTTGTGGAACGTGCACACAGAGGGTTAGTTGGGGAAGAAGAAGTTTCCCATTCAGAGTAAGCTCTTTGAGACGCTAACTCGATATTGCATAAGAGAAGAAAGAGGAAGAAGTGAGCTGTAGCCTTAGTCTTAGTACGCGCACTAGAAGGGGCTACCGAATGCGCCAGTGACAAAATAAAATCTTGTTTGTGTGCCGCGAAGGGCCTACCCCTTGAAAATGGAAGGGCATGGAGAAGCGGATTCCTACTTCTTAATAGAATAGCTTGATCGACCACCATCCTTATTGACCTTCCCTCGGGTTGGTATGCTTGTGTGTCAAGCAATCCTGCTTCGGTAGCAGACTTCGGTCAAGGAAATCGCTTCAAGCAATGGCTTTGGATCGACCTGACTTCTTAGAGAGGAAAGCCAGTGAATGAATGAATGAAATCCGTTGAATGAAGAAGTCTTTATGGCTCAAGCAGCTAGCGGACCTCCTTAATTGAGAAAGTCAAGCATGTCAGCACGCCCCCTACCTATGTAGTCGGCTTCCCGGTAGTTTGCGGGACGCTATTGGAATCGGTCTATCTAAATGACCTATCTCCAGATGTATGTATTCTTGAAGTGCCTTTCTCATAGTTCCCTTCCCGGGCATTGATTGAGAGGGAATAGACTTCCCCACTGAACGAGGAAGGCAGCAATCTCCTGGAGATAGAAGGGCAATCCCCAAAAGAAGCGGCCAGAGGAGACATTCATTAATAACGGATCTCGACCCCTCACCCGTACTGATGGGAATGACGGGCACTGCATTTATGCCGAAGCCGAGGAACTGAACCAATTACTTTAAAGGCTGGCATCCCGGACTGATAAAGGATCAACTAGGAAGACTGGGCAGAAATCTTCTTACCCGCAGTAGCGACAATCAGGAGCACTACTTCTATAAGATGATTCTCGCCATTTTCCTTACAATAGGGGCATTGACTTCAGTCTCAACTAGACCTAGACCCAATAAAGCTCGAAAAAGCAGGATTGCTTGAATGGAAAGAACAAAAGGTAAAGGACAACCAAACGAAAGCGCTAACAGCAGAGGGCAGTATCTATATTATATATAGTAGAGCTCGCTTACCAGACGAAACCAGGCCTTTAAGGTAAGGCTGGAGTGGAAGGGAGAGTAGACCCGAGAGCTGCAATAGTAATTAGTATTCTAGCACCAGCCCTTCTCGTATCGAGACAAGACAGAGCGGGGAAAGCTGCCTTATGTAGTTACCTGCTCTTTCATCGAGATTAGCGAATTACGGTAGAAGATCGGAGAGAATCTGGTTCGAGGAGCCTAGCCTTCTTTGCTATTAGTTTCAATATCTGCTGCTTTTGTTTGCGCCAACCCTCTTAGAAGGAAGAACTCTGGGGAACTTCCGGATTAACTGATTAAGGAGTTCCGGTCGAAAGAGAAATGAGTTAGCGGGAAGAAGATTAGCAGTACGAGGAGGCGATTCAGCAAGCTAGCCACACCTCCATCACTTGACACTTTCTTATTCACACCGAAGAGAGAGTGCTAGACTAGTGCCCAATGAAGACCCAAGCAATGCATCTCAAGCTCTCGCTTTCAGAGCAGATGTGCGAGAAGTTTAATTACGAAGCTATGCTGATATCTATCTAAGAGCTCATATTCAAAGGAAAGGGCGGACCTGGGACCTGTACTTTATAAAGGATGGAATGGAGCCAAGGGAAGAAAACGAACAAGAAGCACACTTCAAGGTCACTCTCTGTCTTCTTGCCTGGAATAAACTCACTCCAGTGCAGTGGGAGGACCCCCTCTAATAGGATGCTACTCGTACCTGTAGAAAGAAGAGCGAGAGCGGAAGAGTAGGATTCGGTAACTAGGAAATGCCCCATGCTCGAGGAGAAGGAGACCGGATAGAGAAGAACGGGGCACACTCCTCCCATTAAGAGAAAGCACAGGGAAATCTCAATATAACCAGAGTGACCCGGGAAAGAAAGACATGACTCTAGTACGTCCCAAAGGCGGGTGTTGGTCTGTCAAGGATGGACATAGATGCCCCCTTTTTTACTGAAAGTTGATCCCAGTTGCCCAGAACGCCAGGTTCTAACATAACATCTATTACTTTGATACTTAAGATTCCGTAACGAGTAGATACTTCCGCAGAAACATAATCGAGATTGGATCTTGTACGAAGGTAGACTTCACACCTACCCCATCTAGACGATAAATAGATAAATAAATGGGTTTCTTGCGGGCATTTGCCAGCTTGATTCTGAGAAAGAGCTCGTCGGCCTGTTGGGGTTCTCTTAAGATATTTCGAATCAACTTAACCCTATTCAACAAACAGGTGATTATGTACAAAAAAGGCTTGTTATTGAATGGCCCCTCTTTGCAACTGATTTCATTCATATAATCGGGTGTTAGTTCATAGGTTTTTAATCCTGCGTACTCCCGCATAAAGAATGAGCAACCGCAACCTGAAACAATATCTTATTTAAGAAGAGCGCTTGCCACTCCTCTAGTGTGATTTCCATCGGAGATAGAAAACCTCTTATCTTAGGCATAGACAAAGATAGCATCTTCGGTGCAAAAAGTCACAGAGATTTCGTGCACGCACTAAAGAGGCCTCTAATCGACACTCACTCCTATGCAGGAGATGCCACACTGACTGCTCTAGCAGATAGGATGAAGAAGGAAAGAACGATTATGGTAGAAAAGACTCTTGAGAGCTCGGCTATAGAGCAATTCTTCGACTAGGGAAATGGGAGAAAGACCTTTCTTTCTTTATTTAGGCAGGAAGAGCGAAATGGTCTCTCGATCCTAGGAGAAAAGAAAGATTAGGATACCGCCCTTCTCTCATGACTTCGGAATCGAGCCAAGGCCCACCTCTAAAGTGACGTAGACCCGGTCCCTAACGAAACTAAACTTGAGCAATTTCCTTCGGTATACCATTGATCCCTTTGGGAAGGTTAAAGTTGAATCATACCCAATCGAAGAATAGCCCTTCGTGACTCTCCCTCTGACCCTGGAATTCATTGAATTGGACAATTCCTAATAAGCGCTATAGCTCGAGCTATAGCTTCTTCTCCTGTATGTGGTAGTATCTGCTGCTTGAGCTTAGGTAGTCTTTCGCGCAATTGCGTGAAGCATCTCGCTATGCTACCTACACCTTCCTTTGGGCGAGGTCAGATCTAGAGAGGAAAGGACTCAAAGCAAAGCTCCGCAAGGCAGGCAACAACTGTCACCATTCCCGGGCGAAGGAAGGCTGGAGTGCTCTGAGGAGATCTGATTCTGGACAACTCCGATTCGACTTCTTCATGAGCTAGCCCGGTGCCATAAACCAGCTGTTGTCAGGATGTGGGAGGAAAAAGTAGTAAATGAATGTTCCAAAGCCAAAAGAGGCTGACAAGCAATAGCCAAATCAATCCACCAGGGAATGAATCTTTTGAATGGGCATCCGTAACAACAGACGAAGAAAGCCTTTCTTCTAGGCGTAGGCGGGAAGAAGTTCCAAAAGGGCTCTGAGTCCTTATAGGGGCTATTATACTCGGTTCCAATGGCTTTTCCTAAATATCTAATTTTCTGGAGCGAAACTTCCATCTTGGAGGAAGGGTAGTTTGACACCCGTTGCATAAAAGCTACTGGGGCAACCGTAAACATAAAGCTAGATAAGCAAAGGGAGAGGGAACTACGCTCCCAAGAAAGAGCAAAACCTCGCCAAGGCATGCTAAAACCTAAACTGCGACGATGGCTCCAAACCGGATACGAAGCAAGCGAAAGCAAGCTAGCCAGGGAAGGGGGTTAGCACGGTAGCGGGCCTCCTCGGCCTTGACAGGCTCCCGTTGATATAGCCTTCTAAAATGAGGAAGTTTTCTCTCTTCCTTCTCAACCCGGCCTTTACTTTAAGGATGAGCGGCCAGCACGCATAATCGAATGCTTCACTCGAAGGGCTACGCCATATAAAGAGGCTTCCCGCCACCTTGTCCACCTTCACGCCTAGGAATTCCATAAGGACCGGCTCACGACCGTCATTCCGCATTTGGTAGTTGGTCTGCCATTGAGGCTAAGCCCTATTTGAGACTAAGGCAGGCTTCTTTTGACTGCATTTTTTCCTGCTTTCTTTGCGCCCTTTCCAACTAGTTATAGATTTCTTTAATGCCTATAAACTGGGACCAAGCCAAGTAAGTCCATAGATCGTCTGTTAATCCTTCTTTGAATCCCAGTTGTATTAGTATCCGTCGTCGTCTGGGGTTTTAACATGACCAAAGTAAAAAAAGTCTTGTCCCAGTTTTGAAGCCTCGAAAAGTCTCTCTATCTGGCTTTGTTATTATTACAGTGTCATCTGCAACCAGCCGTAGAGATATGGAGAGAGGGGACAGCCTTGTTGCAGACCTTTGTTTGGTTCCTCTTATGAACCCCACTGGTCGTCCATGGATCATAGGTGCTATTCATTGTATATAAAAAAACTTTCGTATCCTACTCTGCAAATCCCATTTTCCTGTCGCATATAGAAACCTATGATTAACATTATCATATGCCTGGTTTGGCGAGTTTAGTGATCATGGCTGGCTCACCTGATCTATCAGCTGACTAGTAAGCCTCCTTGGGATAATCATCAATATCTCTTCCTATCCAAATGAGATTAGGAGGGCGCCCTTTTTAAAGTTAAAGAGCCAGCGTGTCTTTCAATCTATTGGCAATTACCTTAGTCATTCTCTTATACAGTGTAGTCCCCATAGCAATGGGCCTCGGTCTAGTGAGGTTTTGCTTTTTTGGGAATCATTGCCAGGAAGAAGGATTGAATTGCATCTGGTTTGCTCCTGTTCGACTTCAATTACCATATGGAGATGGAGGTCGTCCTTAATTATGTTCCAGCACTACCCCTGAATCTATCAACCAAGTAGAAGTTTAAGTTCAGTTGGAATCCATCTAATCTAGTAGCTTTTGACTATGAGCAGCCCCTCTGTTGTTGATAGATAGCTTAAAAGATTGAATTGAATCATTTTTTTTGTGCCTCGGGGACTCTTTCAAATATTTGGTGGACTGCTCCTATATGCTGTTGGCTCGATAAGATGGATAAGTGTGATAACAATTTCATAACTTCTATCCTTATCTCCTCATGCTGAACCAGAACCAGGCCTCTTGGGCATTTTAAAATGATAAAAGTGTGGATTCTGCCTTTCTTAATAGATGCGTGAAAAAAAGAAAAACCTTTTAACCACAACTGTCGAGATTGTAGGCGCAGCGACTCCCCTACCCTTCTTGACTTAAAGCTGAGCTTCCAATCTTCTATACATACAAGAGTTCTCTATGTGTTCTGCATGTGGTTCTCTCTCAATTGCTCTTCCTTTTCCAAAAACGTGTTTTCTGCTTGTTTTGAAATTTCATTTACACAATTGAATTGACAAGAGGAAAGAAAAATCAGTTAATAAATCCTAAACAAAAAGGTCCTATGTAGGTTATCGTTACATTTTAGTTTATAAACTAGATTGAAAACTTCTTCAAAAATCAAACTAAGAAATATAGTAGGTGAGTAAACTTGGCGCACCTACAAGAGCTCGATAGAATAGGGCTCTATTCGATCCGATCCGTCCAGGTAAAGACCTTAACCTTTACTATACCTTATGAACCCTTGAGTCCTTTCTTTTATGCGAGGATGCAAGTGTAGGATAGATCTTTCCCAAAGTTCACTTTCTTTGTCGAGATTGGGTTGGTGTTCAGTGTACTGGGTACAAGATCGAAAAGAACCCTACCCTATATATAAATATAATATAGGCAAGAGGCAAGGCAAGCGCTGTCCGTCTTCATGGCCTCAATAAGACGTGGTATTGTACTGGCCCGTTTCGCAGCACGGAGTATACCGTGATCTCCGTTAGTTCCGTTTCGGCTTTTTCCCCAATTTCCCACTCCTTCTGTGAGGCCTCACCACACTTCGACACAAGAGAAGAGGACCGGGCGCTTTGCTTGTCTTGTATCTTCGGGATACGAGTTGGCGGTCTTCTTTAAGAGAACTTCAATCTAATACTCGTTATGGATCAACTCGTTGCTGATTTCGTTTCTAGGATGGGTTTGGCTCTGCCTGTAGCTATTCTTGTAGCCGTTAGGGCTGGCCGAATGATCCATCAAATGAATAGTCAAAATATGGAAACAAAGGTAACTGATCTAACGATAGATGTTGTTAAAGAGAAAATCGTTGACCAACTCTCAATTCTTTTGAGAGTCTATAGAGAGACTACTGAGGATGTGAACTTACCAACAGGAGTCAATCTCCAAGAGGTAAGCGCACTTGGAGAAGCAAGAGTGAGCCTTCTACACATACACAATATTATATTTATTGTGATCTTCTTTCTCAGGGAACGCAAAGTGAATACTTTCTCCAAGTTATACAATTTCTTGGAGGGTAGTCTTTCTTTTTCTGATGGTTCCTGACGTACTGGAGTTATAACATTTGAATTTCTCTTACATTCCACGTTCCCGAAATGGATCCTCTTAACTTAAATATTTCACATTTTCGAAGCGACAGCTTACTTCGATCTTTCATAGATTGAGTCTTTTCTTTCTTTTCATTTTGACCTTTCTCAGTCTCTCTTATTGTCTCTGTTTACTAATCGAGGTGGATTTGGATCTCTTTCTTTGGAAAATGAAATCAATGTTGCTAGGGAAAGTGATGTCTTTATTAAGGTTGCATGGGATGATAGAACTTTTTCTTTTTTGTGGAGACCTCACTCTAGGGAACATGATGATGTCAGAAGAAGGTTACGCCGCATCAAGCTCGTAGGGGGGCGGCTCTTCGAAACGACCTCCTCTCGACATCGACTTAAATGCCGAACCGCCCTCCTCTCGACATCGACTTAAATGCCCCGGAGCAGGAGCCTGCCCCTCAGTTGGAATCGGGTAACGGATGAGATACGGAGGCGCCGAAATTCTGGAGTTGGAGCAAGAACGTCAAAGAATCGTCGAAGCTTCTGCCCAACAGGAGGAGAGAAGGCGAGCCCAAGAAGAGCGGGATTGGCAATTTCATTTTGAAAGGAGGAAAGTAGCCCGTCTGAGGGTAGAAAACGAACGACTAAGATTTCGAATCAATTAGAATAGATATGGGCAGGATATGACGATTCCGACAAGGACAATTCTTTCGTCGCGCCTAATCTTGATTCACTATTTCCATTTTTTTTGACGACAAGTTTAAGTTTTAAATCTTAATGCATTTTGTTTTCGTAGACGAGTGAGCAGAGCCCATGAAATAAGGAAGCCCGTCATAGAGCAGTCGACTAGAAGTAGAAGACTGCTGGCCTGAGAGAAGGCGACCTCTCTCGGGAAACATGTCCAAATTTCTCTTCTTTCTTTTTGATTTCGGGTTTCTTTTTCAGGGGCCCAGAACGCTAAAAGGTGGTTGGAGAAGGAAACCGAACCTCTAATCGACCTGGACACATAATTCTTGGCGTCGAGAGAGATTTGAGATTCCGTAAGTAACTCAGTGAGTGCTTTCGAAGAAAGGGGAAAATTAAATAGGAACAACCGCGCTGGTCGTACGAAAGTAGTTCTCAGTCGTATCATGGCTCGTTTTTCCCGGTTTACTACTATGGTTCTAGTTTTTATCTCATTTCTTCCTATTATGTCTCTATTCTTCTGGGCTGGGATGGGACTGGAATTTCTTTCAGGCCTTCCTTTCGAAGGCTCTAATCTCCACCGGAGCCCGCGCCCTCTTGTCTAAATTAGGATTTGCAGAGCTCTTCCTTATTCTTTTTTTTGGGGGGATCAAATGGTCTCTCCATCGGGAGATGCGCATGGGTGCTCTGCGCTTTCGAATCCTATGGAAGCGCACCAGCCCGACAACGTGCCGGCGCAGGCGCCTGTTGCAAATCAACCGGTCGACCTTAACCGGACACCGAGTCCTAACCCGATGCTTTCCTTACTAATGGACCAACTTGAAGAGGCAAACAGGGACCTCGAAATTTTGGAGAGTAGACCCCCCACCACTCCAGCCGAAGTTCGGGCCAACTTAGAGGAAGTGAGGGTTTTAGGGGAGCGCATTGACCAAATTATTGAGCGAATCAATGAATGCCGGGCCCTGGATGAGGTTAGACGAGAGGAAGATGCCCAAAGCGGAAGTCGAGGCTCAGGCGTGACGGGTCGACCCAACTATACGGGGCCGCTTCGAGGAGACCCGAGCTCGAAGACAGGCCTTCCGAGAAAGACTTCCCATTCTCCAACAAGAGAATTGGGAGCAATTCAACCGGGATCGGGGGAAACATAGGTAATTCTTTCTTCCTATAATCCTGCCTGGGGATAAGATAAGGTTAATCTTCTCCCTGGGCGCGGATCGAAGACCCCTCTTGGAGATGTCGAGGAGTGAAAAGGCAGGATCGCTTGGTAAGCAAGCAAGCAGGCGCCAACTCCCAATTCTTTCTTTTTTTATGAAATCGTGTACAACAACCTTAACCGCACAAGCCGGGACTGGGCCTACCTCCATCCCTATCCCTAGAGGAGCCGTATGAGGCGGAAGCTCCACGTACGGTTTTGAAGCCGAGCCTTTCCAGCAATGGGGCTTAGGGGCCGATATGATGATTGGTTTAGGTAAGGCGGCCGGCCTACTACGGGCACCTGTAGGGATTAGTGCGTGAGACCGCGATCCACAAACTGACGCATGGGACTCACCCTTTACTTGGAAATAAAGAGGGGAAAGATAGCATGTCACAAGAGCGAGGCGAGGTCTGGAACCCTACTGCGAGAGGGACGCCTCGTGAGCCGGGCTTCTAGAGATGAGGCCTTTTGGCGAAGCCAAGTCAATTTCGGGCCACCAAACCCTGCAACTGATGAGAAGGCCCTATGGAGTAAAGGGAAGCGTGTACGTTGTCACACTCCCGGCCTTCCAAAGGTGCCTAGAGGACGGGCCAGACGCAGCAGAGCGACAACCCGGGAGCGGATTCCCCACCGGCAGGGGGGCAGGAGACGGCCATCTCGAGGCACATCACGACCTACAGGCAAGATCGGCGAGACCTGGGAAGGCAACCCAGCCCGATTGAGAGTCAGAGGATCCATAGTACCTGCAGCCCCACAGACTTCATATTCAACATTTTTTAAAGCGGGGGGAAGGGATCTCTTTTCTGCAATGGAAAAAAAGGAGCAGATTTGACTCGGCACAACCTAACGATACATCCAATACCAATGATCTGCGCCGCGTTGCTAGATCTCTGCGAGAATTTAATAAGAGAAGAAAGCGTAGAAAGAGGTTCAGAAGTACTTCCCCCGGTTCTACCAGGTAAGAAGGTCAAATGCTCTTCTTTAAGTAAGTAAGGGAGTAGACTTTTTGATTCCAACGCACTTCACTCTTGGCCAGACGCCAGCGACGAATGGCGTCAATAGTCGCATAGAGCCTTTCAAGGGCAACCTTTGGGAAGAGCAAGGTCTTGTAGAAGTTTTTCGCCTTAGCACCCCCCGAATTCCTTTCAACCCCAATATTTAAATAGAGGGGCTTGGGTCTGGTCTACTACCAGCAAGGCCCCACTTACTTTCTTTTTTATTTGAATTTATCTTAGTAAAGAAATAAAGAATGTCGGATCTAGTACTTACCTATCTTATTTCCCTTCTTTCAGCAGCTGCTTTACCACTGAGTGTTTTTATAGTCGCTAGCTGGCGAGTCGCGAGGCTTCGCCAGTTAACGATGGCCTCTTACCAGGAGCGAGTGGACGAAAGCGTCGCCGAAACAATAAAGGAACAGCTTAGTGATAGGCTCTCCATTATTGAACTCTAATCATATAAATCTTCCACCTGGAAGAACGGCGTATGACATAATAGACCGCTTGGTACCGGGGAATGATATAGAATTACTCTCTTCCATATATACAGATTTGGCTCAACTAGGCATTCAAAGTGAGTATTACCTCCAATTACTCCAAGTTATTAATTCTTTTTGGTGATGTTTTGATCTTATTCGTATTCCGATCGAAAAAAGAAGGTTTCAGTTACGGTGGGTGGGAAAGCTGGAGGGGATCCCAGTGGTTAGAGTAACTGGCCTATAAGGTTAGTGAGGTTCCTGCTATGGTGAAGTGAAAGATCTTTCACTTTAGTGGGAAGAAGACAGGTGGGAGCGAGCGGAGCGAGAGCAAAGCAAGCTCTAGTGGTGGGGTGTTTTCCTGGTCCCATTTCAGTCTTTTTCTTCTCTTCGGTCAAATGAACCAGAGCTAGCCACAAAGGCTTAACCACCAACAGATGCGAATTAGCTCTCTAGCCTAGCACCCTTTCCCTCAAACCTGAGAACAGGCATCGTGGAAGGAAATTGAACTTGCTTTCGGGCGATGTCCTTCCTAAAGTCAAGTAAAGGACCGGATAAGCAGCTATATCGATTCCTAACAGTAAGAGGAAAATCTTTCTTTGCGACAGGTTTGACGTAGTTAAATGATCGACCAAGCCATTCAATGGCATCGGTTTTTCCTATACCTAAAAGACTGGCACCTCCTTCAGATTCTAGAAAGTAGAAGACAAGGATAAACCAGACCTAGTTCCCCTTCTATAAGGCTAGTCTAGGCTAGTAAATAAAGTATAGGATAGTCAAGTCAGTCTCGCTAGTACCTTTTCAATTTGAAGAAAGGATAGTTCAATTCCCACGGAGCGGTAAGCTTTCTCCGCCAGCCTTCTCTCATTTACCTTGTACAAGCCTGACGGGTCGTCGATTCATCGGCAAAAAAATAAGGGGTCCTGGAACTACGTCCCTATAAGCAATAGAGGCCTTTGACTCTGCAGGCTGTCACGGAACTACGTCAGCCGAGCTTTTCTAGCTCTTTTCTTTCTATTTACGAGATAGCTTGTCCTCCTTCCTTTCCTGAGCTTATGTCAATAAAATAAGTCAGTCTACCCCTTTTATTATACTAGGATAGCTAAGCTAGTAAATAAAAAATCCGGCTTGAAAGGACACATCTGCAAGGGAAAGGGCCATGATTCAATAAAAAAAAAGGACTGATTTTATTGCATAACCTTGCTTGCAAGCAAGCTTACTATATCAAGAACTTAGAAAACCGCCTTAACTGAAAAAGGACTAGACTGAACCGTCAGCCTAGGTGGGAGGGCAAGACCCACTAGATCTGAAAAGAGTAAAGAAGTAATGAACTCTGGCTCTTCAGACTGTACCGAGTTGATATGAAGCCTGGCAAGTCCATCTGCGCAGAAATTCCCCTCTCTCTAGCTAGCTATGTCGAAAATCTCTCTTCCAGTCTGACGCTAAGAGGTAGCGAGAATCATCAATAAGAAGTCCATTGGGCGTGAGCTCTCTATCCTCCGAGTTGCTGATCTTAAGAACTGCCTGGCCATCTCTCTCGCAAACTACCTTTCTCTAAGACTTGTCCCAAGCTAGACTCAGCCCATCCCCCATTTAGTTGCTAAACCTAATCCCGTGACCATCTCCCCTCTGCCGATCTTCGTCAGGCCCCCTCGACTTATGATACATATAGAATTCTGTGGAAAGCCGTATTCGATGAAAGTCGTATGTACGGCTTGGAGGGAGGTCTTTCATATCTTTCGAGATCCACCCGGGGCCGGGGTCAAAAAGCCAAAAGAAATTCTTTTTTTAGCCCGGAAAACTGATTCTTGAGAATCCCTTGCACGCTCACGTCGAGGTACTATTGACCGATTTCTTGCAACTACAGAGCTTGACTTGCTCAACAAATGTTCGAAGGACCCTAGCCACGAGATAGAGCCGGAGCCCCTAACTTGCAATCAGTATAAAGAGATGTCCCTGCCTGGGATTGGGATGCTATGTCTCTTAGATCCCTACCTTTCCCAGCTCAGAACGCTAATCGAAATCAAAGAGAAAAAAGCTCTTATTCTTGAATGTTAGTCTTCCGCGACATGGAAGACTTTTTTTATGGTGGAGATGAGGCATCTGGGGTTGTGGAAGCAACAGACCCGTGCTGAGGTAGAGGGTCCTTGAAAATCCCCACGTTTTTATTGGGGTTTGATGGAGCATCTTCTTGAGGCACTGTCATTTTGATCTTGTCTATAAGATCTTTGATTTTAGCTACAAAAGGCGGTGGGTGAGAAAGCTGCTTTAGCCCACCCAGAATAAGAGGATACTTCTGAGATAATTGGAGTATAGGATGATGATGATTATTCCATGGGCTCGTTTGAACGAATTAGGGCTTTAGCTATAGGGAAAGGGAATAAGCGTACGGTAGATAAGGAAATTCCTTCTTTCCTGGCTCTCTTGGGAACGGGACTCCTGGGAAGCAAGTCCAGTTCAAGGACCGCAGAGACATGCGGGTAGGACCAGTGCTTAAACCTCTTCCACTCCATGTCATTGACATACCGTCCTCGTTTAATCTGCTCTTAGGAAGACCTTGGCTGCATGAAAACATGACTGTATCATCAACAACTCTTCAATGTGAAAAATTCCCATACCGGGTAAATAGCGGCCGAGGAGCTTCCCGCCTATCGAGGTCCAGAAAACGACAAAATTCCGCTAATCTTCTCAGACTAAGAAGCTGCTAGGTCCTAAAAGCATCAACAGGAAAAGCAGTTCAGCAATACAATGGAAGCCAAATAAGAATTGGCTCCGAACGGAAGGCGAACGGTACGACCGGGGAAGCCTGGGATGGAATCCAATTCATTCTTTTCTTCTCTCTTTTTTCTAATAGCTATAAAAGTATAAAAGAAAGGAGTTGCAGCGAAAGAAGAGTAGTTTGGTCCAAAGCTAGCCGATGTGACGGCTACGGGTTGGCTCGTCGTTTTCATGTTTGAAAGTTTTGTTGGTATGTGCCTTTAATCCTAAGGAATATCAAGACTGTTAACTGTTAAGCGTCACTCGAAGCTTTTACTCATCTTCATTCCCTTCTGTCGCATCAAAGAGAAGAGCGCTCGTCGAATCCATGTGGGCTTTCTGCTCAGGATGCTTCCTGCTTCATTCTAAAGTGAAGGTCCCTTCCTATTCCGATTCTTTTTCTATTGATTCTTTTCCGATCGGGCTCTATGTGTCTATATAGATCCTGTTCAGGGATATAACTCAAAAGTGCAAAAGCTCTATTTTCCTCTGCCATTCTATGAGTCTCTTCCTTTTTGCGTATGGCATCGCCACTCCCTTTGGCAGCATCCACTAATTCGGAACTGAATTTTTAATTTCGACCCGGACGTTTTCGTCCTAATAACCAACGAACGGCAAGTGCTTTTCCTTGTGTGGATACTATTGAAATAGGTACATCGATGAGTCGATCCGCCTACACGTTTTGCTTTTACAGCGGGAGTGACTCCACGTATTGCTTGACGTAAAACAGATAGTGGTTGAATCTTTTTTCGATAGAGAATTGGATAAGCCAATGATTCCGTGTTTCAGAATACACCAACAACTAATCGATTACGAGGATCGGATTTTGCAGTTAGAAGAACTCATCTTCTTTTCTTGACAATTGAATGCACCCCTATAGCCATATATTTAGTAATTGCTGAACTCGTTCTGGAAGATTGTTAAGGGTGCTTTTACAGCTCAAGCAATAGGTGTAGAAAGTCAATCCAGTACTCGAAGTAGGGCGTTTAGCAGCTAGTCATTCAAGATATAAGAGAAAATTCATTGAGCTCGACTCAACTAAACTAAGGGGAAGCGTGCCAAAGGCTGTTCTTTAAACGATCGGGTCAAAGGAATGAGCCTATGAAGGCAGAGGTTTGTTTACCAGCTGTATGTAATATGAGTGAAAGCAAGGACAAGGACCATGAAGCCAGGACGCAAGGAAGCGGTAGAGAGGAGTGGGTAGAAGGAAGAGAGCTTCTAGGAATAAGTCAACCAATAAGGTGCAAAGCGCATTCTTTTTCGATCCAGGTAATTCATTGAGCAAGGTAGGACTAGCAGGATTATGCTATTGAACTAGAAATTGATATTACAGGCACTACTTTCAGGCAGTAGGTGAAAGGGTAGAAGATCTTTGCGGGTTGAGGCTAGCTCTAAGAAGAGGTTTGGGAGTAGTTGATAAGCAGAGGTTGCTTGGCATTCTCTCAATAGAAGGAAGCGGAAATGGTCAAACTCTAGGGTAGGGGCGAAGTAACTAGAGATCTCACCCAGGAATCAAACTTGGTTGGTGCTTACAGGAACGGAAGGAAAGGCAATAGCAAGGCTTCTTAATCTTACGGTTCACTCACTTGCCTGAGGAAAATCCCAGCTGGATCACATCACTTTGGCAAAGAGGGTGTTAAGGTCGGTAGCTGACTTGGATGAGTTCAAGAAGAAGAAGGGAGAAGTCGCGGACATTGACAACCCGGCGGAGGGACCATTCCGCGGGCAAGAATTTCGGACTGGATTCTGACTGCCTTCGTTCATTTTCTTCCCAAGAGTTTCTTTTGACTCTAATCCGGCAGCTGTCGGTCGAGCATGCTCAGTTTCATCTCATTCCTCAGTCACATATGGCCCGAAAGGGCATTCTCAGTTCTAAAAAATGGAAGTGAGGGACGCTAAGAGAATCAATTCTTTGATTCACTTCGCCTTGAAAAGTCCGTTACAGGAAGTGTTACAAGCGATTGAAGACCGATGTCCGGAAAGGGAATAAGTCTTTCAAGGACCCGGCTTCGTGTACGAGAAAGAGGAGAATCAAGGGCATGCCCGAGCCGAGCCCCCTCTTGATTGGGCCAGAGGAGAGTCACTCTTTCAAGCAAGGATGCTATGACCTCAGACTTGAGATCGATTGAAAGATATAGTTTTGAATGAATCAAATGTCATCCATCCCGCGTTTTGGGGCTGTCATAATGTGACAGTTTCGACTTCCATCGGTCGACTTCTGTCGGATCTGTCTATTCCGTTTAGGGAATGGGCTTATGCCGACCTTTTTGAATATCGGTAAGCTATCCTTAGTCAAGCTCTGGAAGTACTTCCACTCATACATATGAGTTTAGGTTTTTCTTCAAATCTCGTATTGAAGGTGCAAAATCAATGGCAGCTGCTTCTGCTACAGCTACAATGGGTTCCGCCTCTTTGCTTTCTAGTGCAGGAATCCGTAATCTCGTGCTGGGACTCTAGCTAAAAGCTAATCCGTTCTCTTGCCCTCATCCAGTTACGAGTTGCTAAGCTACTGAGGAATCTAGCTATGAGCGATCCCGACTCTCGTTACTAAAATCCAGTTCGTGTCTAATCTCTAGTGTTTCGTTCTTGTCTTATTAATCTAATCAGCCGGGGAT